AATGATTGACAACCGACAGACAATTTACAACTTCTTGAGCAGTTAAAAGATTGAAATTTGAAAAAAACGGCAAAATAAATGAACTTTAACAATGCATTGAAAGTTTTATTACCACTTCGTGAGAAAAAAAACAGTTTTTACATTGTAAACATGGGACTGATATCGATTTCTGTAGGTGAACAGCACTTTGCCCATTATCAAAAAGACTTTGAAAAAGTCGTATCATTTCCCGTACAGTCATAGTACTGGTCCTGCACAGCCATTAATAGTCTAATCTGCAGGGGCAGGTTATTCATAACTTTCAAGTCTTTGACTGAAGTGCCATGCTGTAGCAAAAACAATACGGACTGTAACGAAGCTCTTCATAAGCGAATAAGGCTCGTTTATTCGTTTGGCTACAGAAATCATGAGTTATTTTGAAGAAAAACAAAAGTAAACAATTTATTTCACAGTTTTATGTAAGATAAACACGTATTTATAAAAACGGCTGTAACTTCTGCCACCAGTTTGTGGCTTGTTTGCCGTAGTATTGCTAAGACAGTAGATTTAGAAGACCATGAAAAAAAACACTTTATCTTGCCCTAAAACCAAGTATTCCGGTTCAATGAAATTTCTGCTGTTAGAAAAAGTCCTAAGAAAATAACAGAAGCCAAGGGACCTCAAGAAAATTAAAAATTAAAAATGATTAAAAAACAATTATTTTAACGACAAAAAAAAGAAAATTTATTGGCTTTGTTAGCTAATAACTTGTAATCAAAAACATTTCAACCAGTACAAATCCATTTTAGAATAAGACTAACAGACTTACCAAGCAGAAGATAGCTAGAGTAAAAGTGATTATCTAGTTGCACTTCAGGTTCAGTCTTCTTGGCAGGTTGTCGAAATATTTATCTAATGTGAAGTTCAGCGTTCGACTAGTCGTAAACACGACTAGTCTCAGCTTTATGCAATACAAACATAAGAAAAAAGTTAAAATGACTTGACTGTAACTAACATCTTGAAAAGATGTACTGCTTGCCTCAACTAACCAGTAATACTAAGAAGAAATGCTTCATCTCTCAAAATTTAGCTGAAAATTAGACTGTCTCAACAGTACGTTAATTTTTGGTTCCTGCAACTTTTAACAGCATTTCCAACATTATTTTAAATTATAATATCAGAATTTAAGCGTTAAAACTGCGTCCGTAGCCAGTACTTAAGCATAGAGAAACGCTTGCAGCTTGAACCTTATAGGCATTGATCAGTATAGTCAGTTAAACCGAAATTATACCAATGTAGTTTTTTGGCAAAAAGTTCAAAGAAATACCCATATAAAACCATTTACACAAGTATGGAGGAATACCCGTTCAAAACCATTCGTTAAAGTTTTTAAGGAACGTACAGAATTCATTTAAAAATCCAGAAATTTTACGACTGAGTATAACGTATCTAAGTTGTACAAATATTCCTATGGCTGGTGTTAACTGGACAAGACTTATTCACATACCCAGTTATTCGGCAAACAACAAGCACAAAGAAATTTGAATAAAACTGTTAAGTACCTTAGTACAATACATATTACGTAGTATCAAATTACCTGCAACCTCTCAATCTCGGCTTAACTTTTTTTTTATGCATTCCTCTTGAAAATTAAAAAACTTGAAGTACCTTGGGTAAGGTTGCTTCCGCTTAACTAAATTTTCAGCAGGCCTGTATGTGTCGATGTTTAGCAACGATGTTGACCTTCTGCAACAGCAGCAGTCTTCTGAAAACAGAAGGGTCTGCTAAATAAGTTTAGTAAATGCCAAAAAGAATAAACCCAACCCTCTTTCACAACATCCATGTGGGCTACTCTGTGTTAAATGGTACAGTTGTTTTTCAGGCGGTGTCTCAGACTTCCTTGAAATTTGAGAAGTTTATAGAATCCAGTTCCCAATATGCAGGTAATGTAAGTTTACCTTCGAGCCTTCTATGAAAGAAGATTAGGGCCATTACAAAGCGACAAAAATTAGCACAGAGAAGAATTCAAAACTGGACTGCATTTTATGGGGCCCTGTTTCGCTGTTACACCGTATTTAAGCCGAAAGGTGCTTTTGCTGCTTTGTTTCTATGAAGATTTATGATCGTCCCAGAATGCGCATATATTCACAAGCGCCATGAAAGAACGAAGGAAGTAGGACTAAAGTTTAAGGATGACACAGTTCAAAATTTAGCTAAGAGCCTGCGACTAGCGAATAACCCGGTCCTGATCTAAAGCAGCATAATGCAATTACTTAAATGACTGGCCGATTTTGGTGAACCGCAAAACCAGTTGTAACGTGGAATGCAGTTAGAAAGCATGACCAGTAGATGTTGTTCGTTCTTTCTGCTACCAGCCAGCTAATTTCTATCCGTTATCTTATATTATATCTATTTTTCATCTTCTAACTTTCTAAAACGCACATAATCAATCACGACTTCCTCTCATATACTTCTCATATTTCCCGAGCATTTTTTGGTATGCCCAAATAAACTTGTGTAGTGGCACCGTCTCAACCGCTTACTCAGAATTTATTGATTCATTGTTTGACGTGTACACAGAAGTTTTTGGAGAAAGCTTTCCGAAACACTCATCCACATAAACATTTCCATCTCTTACTCATCCATACTTTTACTGCTTCTTCACCTGAGTCTATCGGACTGAAACAGTCAGCAGTCTTGAAAGCAACTTTTAAAACAAATTTTCGCTGGAAGCCTCGCACTATGGAGATGATCGAGCTAGGCGGCGGAAGTACTACTAGTGAAAGCCTTCAGAGGAAGTGAAACCGGTGCCATCCAATTCCCTAACGCAGTCAATATCCATTCTACGCTGCATCAGGAAAGCTGTGAGAAGAAAAAGAAAACTTTATCGTTAGACACTCAGGAAGTTGGTGGTAGATGCGTAAACAGCTGAGGCTATAATAGGTACATAAGGCTAATTGGGAGTCCCATGAAGAAAACGCTGATATGGATTAGTAGTAAAAAAAAGGATTTTTATAAGTGGACACATTTAACTGTTGTAGCTCCTCATAAGAGTTCAATTACCCGAGTCTGAACTAAACACCAAGACAGCGAGAAAGGATTGAGTCAAACTGCCGTGTACCAGCAACTCTTAGAATATTGAAAAAAAGTGGCCAGTAAAGCAGGAGAGAGTGACGAAAAATACAGGAGAAATAGTTGGATCAAAAAGGCTGTATTTAATTGCAAGCAACAGCAAATCCAAGATAAAGCAATTTTCAACTTGTTGTTTGGAAAAGATCTACCTCGGAATTAAATCGCAGTTTCCTGGTTATATAAAAGCCGCCTCTACTAGTCAAAAACATCAGTCTGTCGGCCTTGACTATGTCAGTAGCGGCTTTGTTAAGACAAACCGCTGATAAAAAGTTAAATTTTTTAACTCCGCGAATACTACTGATAGCCAGTTTCAGTGCATTTTCAGCAGTTCCCTCCCATTTTCTCCACAAATCGTCTTTTCATCCCTAAAAAAAATAAATTTACAGTGAATTACGGAGAACAAAATTTTGCACCGATTACGGCTTTTACAAACCAATTTTTCGTACTTTTTTGTTTTGAACAAACGTATGTCTTAAGTTTTCATTCCCTAAACCCTGTCTTTTTTTCACGGCGTTTTGAAATTTCGTCTCTTGTGGCGAAATGCGTGCCACTGACATTTACATTTTTTATTCCTTCATAGCATTCTCGGTCATAGCGCAGGTTGCAGTTTAAAGGTTCTATGTGGGTTTTGCGCAGCTTGCCTTGGCGAAGACAGTGTTGGCAGAAGAAACAGCTGGCTTACTTTCTCAACAGCTAGTTCCGAAGACATTCTTTCTGATCACTGAAAAAAATTTGAGTTGAAAAGATGAATCTCTGTGCGCAAATTGCGTTAATAATCGCTTTGGCAAAAGGCACTGTTTCTGCATCGGCTTCAAATATCGAATGTGGAGGTACGGTGATACATCTTTTTCTTGTGCGAGAATAATTAATTGCAGTGGCGCATTTTTTCCAAACTTATTGCAATCTTGAACTGATGTTTTTTGGTACAGTGTTTAAAGTAAAAAGGAGTACCAGGACTACTCGCTTTGCTCGTTGATCGTGATTATCTTTTATACTTATGAAGTAAATTTAATTGATATTCCGCGCCCAACACGCTCATGATGACAGCAGGTGAGCTAAGCAGCTCTATCAGAAGTCACTGCACTAGGCTTTTAAAGCATGAGAGGAGTGGATGAATGTTTCAGACTGCGATGGTTGAGTAAGACGGGGGTGAGAACATTGAGCCAAGAATAGTACAATAGACAAACAAAAAAGTTTTTTGATGTGGCATGTCGGGATGCGTCAGTGCAATCTCGTGCTTCTGAATTTCTTCGGTTCACTAGCTGCTTTTCACTTACAGCTTGTACTCTGGTGATGTCGGAACTAGAATCAGGAATCGCTGGTGTTGATAAGGACAAAAAAATTGGAGTTGGTAGTTTTCGTATTGATTCGCATGGTAACCAAGGAGGACTTAACCAGGTCCTTTTGATTTACAGAAATAGTCATTCTTTTGCTTACTTCACATTTAGTCATTTCGCGATCTTAAGGACTTCAAAATATCAAATTTTTCAAATTGCAAGACGTATAAAAGTATCTATCTGTCTTGAGTTTCATGTCTGCCATATTCATGTTTTTGGTAAGACTGTTTGACATTTCTTTAACTGTGCTTTTTTCTTTAGAGAATAGAAGGCTTGTGTTCATATGAGGTTTTTTAAAATCTTGAAAGGTCATTTTATTAAGTAGCAAATTGTCTTTCGTCCTTCTACTGTGTTCTTTTTTTTTTTTTTTTTTTCGTTGAAGTAATTGGATTATAGATTCCTTACGCGAGGTCAGAAACTCACATTCATGAGTTGCTCGAAAACGTTTGTGAGAAGAGCCAACAGTATTCGTTGGTTGTACACCCAACCACGGGAAAAGCCGTCTTTGTAAGAAAAGATAGCACTCATCTGCCTGGTGAAAATGACAGATCAACGTTAGCGAGGCTGAATAACGCTGTTAGTGGGCTTTACTTCTTGTGTAATTAGTGTAATTACCAAGTCACTTGTGAAATATCAGATACTGTTGCTTTACAAATGTCTGCTCTTTCTACATATTGTTCATATTAGATTTAAGCTGAAAGTTGATTTTTTGGGCAGATTTTAAAATGCTTTGACATTTCGTTTTTGACTGATTTTAAAGTTTCAGTGCAGTGACTTTTTGGATGACTATGAAGAGGAAGTTATCAAGTTTTTGGCTACCGAACATGAGGATTCCGTTAGAGATTTCTGCTACTCACAAATAGGTAAGGCCTATGTAGCTACTAGCTGTGCTGTGATTATGCTTTAGTAATGTTGCGACTGTTTGTTTGCGAATTCTTAAGTGTGGTATTTCTAAAAGTATCCTGATTACGTGAAGGAAGTCCATTTGAAACAAGCAACTGCTTAAACAAAGTATTTAAAAGCGTCTTTAACGGGCCTTAAAGGGGATGTCTAAAAATTTTTTATTTTTGTTAGATTACGGAAATGTTTTTGGTTTTTCTATGCCGTAGTAAAAAATGCGAAAACTTTTCGCAGAAAGTTGGTCTGATTCTTTTTTTTTTGGAGGAGTATGTACTTCGGTGGATGTGACACAGTTTCCTCATTCGCGTTCGACAGAAGAGACTGGTGCGCCTGTTGTTGGAAGTGACGAGTTGTGATTTTAAGACAATTTGCTGGAGGTAGGAGAAGATTCTTAAATGAGGCTTCGTCATTTTTTGTTGCTGTTGATCATCTTACGGCCAGTCCACTTCGCAAATTAAGATTATTATTCTTATGGTTAGCTGATTAAGTCTTCTGTAGTTGGTGGGTGCGCGCACAATATACTTCTGAAAAAACCCCTTGGAAGATTTTGATATTGGTTAATGGGAGACACTGTCTCCTTGAATCATCTGGTGAGAAATGCTAAAAACTTAAAAACAACCTCCCACTTGCATAAGTGCTCTGCACACCCACCATTTATTAGAGAATTAAACAAGTTTTTATCACTAAAAATTCATTTCTTAAAGCCGTTTTCTCGAATAAAGTGTGGAAAATAAGTTGAAGATTCATGTAGTGGAGTTCCTACTGGAAGCTTTTTTACGTTTACATATTGAAAATTGCCTTATCACCTGTTCATACAGTTGTATTTACTTTTGTTCTTCTTTTTCCTAGTATTATTATTATTATTATTATTATTATTATTATTATT